CCTGCCAGGTCTGCACTTCGTTTACACTCAGCCTTGGGAGGTAGGGACCAGAGCTGCTTGCCTTGCCCTAGCCACGGCTGCAAGTGAGCACAGGAGCGGCGCCATTCTTTGGTCTCCGCGATAGGCGTACACACACGCATACGCACGTACGTACGTGCATCCACACTTGAGCACACACATCCCGCACGCACGCAGAATAGGTTTCTTGAAATCTGTCAAATTCTGCTTACACACACCATCAATTAAAACTTGAATGCAGGGGGCGCCTGGGTGGCTCAGTGGGTTAAAGCCTCTGCCTTCGGCTCGGGTCGTGATCCCAGGGTCCTGGGATCAAGCCCCGCATCTGGCTCTCTGCTCAGCAGGGAGCCTGCTTCCCTCTCTCTCTGCCTGCCTCTCTGCCTACTTGTGATCTCTGTCTGTCAAATAAATAAAATAAAATCTTAAAAAAAAAAAACTTGAATGCAGGATAGTCCTACTGCTAGTGAGTTTGCTGGCGAATCACAAGGAGTTTCAAGCAAGCCTGGGTTCCTTTCTAGCCACCAGCCTTTGTAAAAGGAAGGAATTCTTTCTGATTCTTTAATTCTTGGGCATTCAGAGTACTGTACCATTGTTATGGGCTAGAACTTGGTGGCTTAGATTTGAAAACTTTTTATACACTAGCTCTTTTGTATAGAAGGCAGAGACAATCATCCCGACAAAGAGTTTCTGGTATTTTTCTGCACAAATGTCACATGTTGAAACACTGTTACACCCATGTTTGTATGTGTGCTCTGTGAAATAAACTTTGCAGATAAAGCAAGTTTTCTTTATCATTCTTTTTTTAAAAGATTTTATTTATTTATCAGAGAGAGATCACACAGGCAGGCAGAGAGAGAGGAGGAAGCAGGCTCCCTGCTGAGCAGAGAGCCCGATGCGGGGCTCGATCCCAGGACCCTGGGACCATGACCTGAGCTGAAGGCAAAGGCTTTGACCCACTGAGCCACCCAGGCGCTGCTTCTTTCTCATTCTAATCATGAAACCCTTACTGCCGGTGATGTGAAGGTGGCCCTAATTGTTAACCAGGCTGTGAATGGAGGCAAGTGGTGGGTTCAGTAAAAGGTGAGCAGACCCTCTGCTGTCCCCCCTCAGTCACCCATGGGGCACGGAGGTGCGTATCTTCAAATTCTGTGCCTGTTTCAGTGCTTGTTACTCTCTCCAGCGGTGGCTCTTGGCTTCTCCCGGAGGCCAGTGGTCATAAAGTATTTTTCTCCGGGGCACGTGGGGTGTTCAGTGAAGTGGCTGCTTTGGGCTCAGGTCATGATCCCGGGCTCCCTGCTCATCGGGGAGTCTGCCTCTCCCTCTGTCCCTCCCTCCACCCACTTCGCCTGCTCGGGTGCTTGCTCTCTCAATTAAATAAAATCTTGAAAAAAAAAACTCCTAAGTATCTTTATATTTACTGTGGTAAAATTCACATTTATGTTGGGCAACTATGTGGTTCCAGAACATTGTCATCACCCTCAAAACACCCGTCCCTTTTAAGCAATCACTCCTCACCCGCCTCTGCAGCCCCTTTAGGAGGGTGCGCACGCGCGGGCAGTGGCTGGGCGCGTGTCGTCCTGACTTCCGACCCCTCCCCGGTCCTGTGCGTGGCTAAACCCCTCGTTCAGACCTGCCCGTAGGTGTCTGCTTTCCTCCCCGGAGACACATTCTGTTCTGCTAGGTTTTGTTTCCGACAGACGAGGCCCCTGTTTATCCCGCCTCGGGGGCTGGTGCCGAGAACAGCGGCAGCCCCCCCCGGGCGGGGCCCCCGCGCACACCCCCGCCCCCCCCCCCCCCCCCCCGCGCGCTCGGCCTTGCACGTTGCTGGTCCGGCTGCAGCCGCCGACCCGATGCGCCGGGCGCACGCCGCCTGCAGCCGCTCCCAGCTCCCAGGTGGCGGACACTGGCTGAGCCCCTTGAACTCTGGGGGTTTAGGACACCTTGGTTACCTTTCGTGTTCCTTCCTCTCTAGGTAGTCTCTTAGTGTCCCTGCCCCTGAGGGACGGCCAGCGGGTTCTGCCTATGAGCCCGTTTCCTGTACCTGTGTCCTCTCGCTCAGGTATGGTACCTTGGGACAGCTCTGTTCCAGGCCGCCACAGCGGTGCGGTAGGGACTGCTGGAAAGAGTGCTGGACAGGGACTGAAAGTACTAAAGTCCCACGTCTTAGCTGAGGTGCCTGTGCGCTTGCTCTGGGACTTGGCTCGTGTTTTCACGTGGCCCTGCTATGGTCTCAGAGTCCCTCGTGGTGAGAGAGGAAAGAGCAGCAGGAGCTAGTGCCAAGAAGCAAAAACCTGGAGGCAGGCTGGACCCCACAATTCCATCAGGGGTCCATTCCTGGCGGCCTGGTGGTGCCCTCCCCCCAGCCCCCTGACCTGCCACCCCAGGGCCATGGAGGCCTGGTTTGAAGAAGCAGGCCCTGGAGAGGCCGCCTCGCTGTTGCTCTCCCTTCCCACCGATCCAGCCGCAGTGTTCCTGGATGGGTGCATCCAGGGGGTTCCCCAAGTCTGGTAATAACCATAGTTACATCTACACGTGCCATATGCCAGGGACTCTATTATTAGGCATCTTTAAACCCTGTGAGGATGGGTATTCATTTTTACCTAGGACGACACAGATTGGTGGAGATTGGCACCTGTTCAACATCGTACAACCAGGAAGAGGCAGAGCTGATGCTCAAATTCAAGTATGATCGTAAAGCCAACAATCCCGTCTTGCTTTGCGAGTGGGAAGTGTCCTGTGGCTTGCATGGTGGGTAACAGACTGCCTTTGATGCTGGAGGTATGAGCAAATCGCTAACATTTATCTAGTGCTTTTACTGGATGTCAGTCGTCAGGCTGAGTGCTTATGATGTCATCTGCATGTGATTCCGGGAGGTAGGAATTCTGTCACATTTTACAGGCGAGGAAAGCCCAGAGAGGTCAGGTCTCAGTGGCATAGTGAGTGGCAGAGCAGCTGGGATTTGAACCCAGGCCACCCGCTGCAGAACACACCCTGTGAACACACAGTATGTTCTTGATATTCCGATCCCCGTAATTACCAGGGAGAAGAGGGTTCTCTGATAAAAAGCTGACATCTCCCCTCCCCGTGTCTTTATAGCATCCGTCTGCAAACGGAGTACTGAGCGGACCTGATGGTTTTCGCAGTGTGATGCGGCAGACACAGCCCCTACCGCGGGGGGCTCACCATTTCGGTGGCAATGCCCGCTCACGATGACCTCTGGCAGACCTCTCTGACCTTCCGCCTTCTCACCTGGAAAATGGGGCCATAGTGCCATCAGCGGGGGCTGTGAGGGTTAGTTATCAAGCCAGACCTGCTCGCGGGTGAGGAACGGGGAGGAAGCAACCTGCTGGTCCGGGGAAGGCAAGGCCTAGCTGGCCAGGCCGGCCTGGCTTGGGCAGTGCCGAAGGCTGCGGTTGTGGTGCATTTTCACAGCGGACCCTGGCCCTGGTGTAGGCTGGAGTTTTGCGGGCCAAGGGGGATAGGAAGGCCAAAGGGTAACACAGGATGGAAGATGAGCATAGAATCTAGGGCAGATGAGAGAAGTCAGGAAGGGAAGGGGCTGGGAGCAGTCAGTGGACTGGGGGCCAAGCACCAGCTCGGTGAAAATAAGGACCCCCCCCTCCACTGGGTCCCTGAAGGAAGTCCCCACTCCACGCCAGGCTTGTCTCCTCTGGGATCTACCCCTTACCGCGGTCTCCATAACCCGGCCAGCTCCCTTGGGAGGGAGGATCACCCCAATTCCTCACCCCACCCTGCTCCCTTGGGGCTCCAGATGACTCAGCACTTCTGTGGTTTTAACTGCTCATTTCTCTAGGGAGACAGACACAAGGGGCTGTCACCTGCTCATAGAAATGCCCGTGGTCTCTTGCTGACAGGTTGATTCCCTGCTAACATGGTCAGGTCCACGTTAGCACGAGAGCGGTCCTGCCCTTTGCTTTCACGACTACGGCTCCGATGCTCATCAGACCGTCGCCCCATCCCCGGGCCGGCCACAAGGGGGAGCGAGTTTCTCCCGAGGCCCGAGAGCGGAGGGAGCCCTCGACAGCGGCGCTCCGAGGGGCACAGGGAAAGGGCAGCCTTCAGCTGCCATTCCCTTTCTACTCCCCGCCTCCCCCGCCCAGGCCCCCCACCCCGGTTTCTTTCAGGGATGTGAGCATCTGTGAAATGCTTCCTTGGGATCAGAGTGGGGTTTTGCTGTTTTTAACTGGACCCGAGGGCTCTTACAGGTTTTATCTTGCTTGGAATTCCTGTTCCATGCTGCACTGAATGGAGTCTGCGCTTGAAGTAAGGAAAACAGTCATTGGGGTTCTGGGATCCCCAGTCGTGTCCCCTTACAGCAACCCCAGCGGCAAAATGAAAAGACCAGGCCAGTTGTTTATATGCTGCTTTATTTCTGTAAGGATACACTGAAACGTTAGAGGATAATAGCTAATGACAAAATGCAGAAATGAGCGTCGGCTTCGCTAACCACTCCTACAAGAATGTTCGTACGCACTGGCATTATGTGTTCACTTGTGGTTCTGTCTCGTTATACTACGTCCTAGAACAATGTCGATGAGAGTGCGGTGAGGTGAGCACTACATGGGCATCCGGCTGGCCCGGGAGGGTGGCCGCCACGCCCCCAGAGATCCCGCTAAGCTCTGAGGGGCAGTCCTTTAAGAGTCGTAAGAGGGACTGAACCGGGCTCTTCACCACGGGGACCAAGAGCAGACAACTACTACGTTACATCACTGTTCGGAGACATCCTGTCGGGTCAGTGACCGTCCCGGTGCCTGCTCAGCTACCCCTCTCAGGTGTTAGGGTTACTTCTGTAGGATGGATTTCAAAACTGCAGGAACGCTGGAGGGGGCAAAAATACTGACATGCAAGTCTCCAAACCCATAAACTATGTTACTATTCATATTAAAACAAAAATATTAAAAAAATAAAAGAGAAAGGGCAGCTGGGTTAGTTCTGTTAAGCCTCCAGAAGCATTCGCGGTGACGATGTTCCTGAGCAACAGGCTCGTTCTCTCAGGTCTGCCTACACTTTGCAAATCACCTGCACGTTCCACGCTTGAAAGTAGGAACGTTCAGAAAACACGCCACACGGGGAAATTGGAAGTTAGTATGGGGGGGGGAGGTCAGTTTAGAGTTACTTAACAGCTAAGTTCAAATGTTAACTTTCTGGAAATTCGTATCAGTCGTTCAAAAGCACAAAAGAACAGAAGAGACTCTGATGAGCAAGTTCAACCATGCAATTCGCTACGTTTGCTTTCTGCTCACCAAAGACGTGAGCAGCCGAGTTGCAGCAGCCGCTGCAACTCTCGCGTGGCCCGGGGACACGGGGACACGGCGGGTCCTGGCTGAGCCGCGAGACGCAGCTCGGCAGGGGCTTCGTGGGGTACGCCGCTTGCTTGTGTCACTAAGCAGCTACATGGTCAGCACTTTCTGCTCTAGGATAAACATGCAGAAGAGTTGGTCTACCTAAGTGTGTGTGTTCTCATGGCAGCTACGGAGATGTGTACGTGGCCACTACATCCTAGCGCGAGCACTGTGCGCCCTGGTGGGAGTGACAGCGTAGAATGGGGGCAAAGGCAGGAGGAGGACTTCAGAGGCGAGAGGCCACTCTGGCCCGGGGGGTGGCGCTGGCCAGAGGGTGAGGACACAGAGAACAAGACTCGATTCCATTTTACAGGACAGGAGCCCCTGTCACTTTACAGCTTTTTGGCACAGTCGGGGCAATACACTTGCTCCTCGTGGAAAACAAAGCGCTTGTTGGCCAGGTTCACGGAGCACTTTTTGCAGTGGAAGCAGTAGTCGTGCCAGGATTGTCCTTCATAGGCCACCACACTGGAGCCTTTACCAAACCCTGGGGAGACAACAAAGCAAACAGGGCAGCTAGCTGAGTGCGGGCGAGAGGCAGGCCGCCGCTTGGCCCGTTCACGTTCACAGAGCCGACAAGCACGCGGGGGCCGCATCGGTCCGGCCCCCCCCCCCCCCCCGGCCCCCCCCCCCCCCCGGCCCCCCGCCCCCCCCCCCTCCCCTCAGTGCGCCGCCGCCACCCTGCTCTGGCTCTCCAGGACCTGAGAAGATGCCGGAGCTCGGCCACGAGCCCACACTCCCCTGCCACCACTATTGCCCCTGTGACGCGCACCGACCTCCCAGCATAACCACTTTCTTTGATTTAGGTCAGGGCCATGGCATCAAAGTGGCCACCAGGAGGCAAACTTGGGCTGTTCGTGGGGTGTGCACTTACCGGGCCTCGAGGAGCTGCTAAGCTTCGATTTTTTCTATAAAGAACCACCACCCACGAGGGACAAGTCCTCTCTCCACCCGGATGCCTGCCCCGGAGGTTGGCGCTGGGAAACAGGGTGAGAGGCAAGCGTTTCCCGTGGCACACTGGGGGCTTCCTAGCTTTAGAGACTGGGTGGCTCACTCTTGACACAGTCCTTTTCCCTGAGGATGGCAAAAGTCTTCTCAAATGTACATTTCAAGGCTCCCCGGGGAGATGGGAAAATTGGAGGCGGGGAAAGGGCCCAGGGCACATGGACCGCGGCCGCGAGATGAGGAATGAAGTGATTAGCTCTGCTCTGATCGCAAAGAAGCTGCCCGCAGCGACCCCTCAACTAGCCTGCCGCTAGGGGCGCTCTAAACCCAGCTTGCCGCTCGCCAGCTTCCCCTCCCCCCCTTCCTCCCCCCCAACCTTGCCACCACCCACCCCAGACCTCTCCCTACCCCGCCGGACCCCCCCCACCTCACCGCTCCCCTCCCTGCGCGTGAGTGCGCACGGTGCCTGCCTGCCCGTGGCCGTGGCCGTGGGTCTCAGGCTCGTGAACTCCGGCCGCGTCGTTAGTCAGCAGTAGTCAGGAGGTGTTCTGTATGGCAAAGGCTAGGCTGGCCTGAGGGAGAATCCGAACTATTGGGGGGGGCCTTCAGGATCACAGTGGCAGGGGGAGAGGACATTCTCTGGGGCCTTTGTGGATGAAACCGACGACGGAGGAAAATGAGAGATGGTTACCATGCGCAAGACCTAGCCTGGCAGACTTAGCAAGGACTCTTTAGCCTACCAGTGATGGGGTTCTTGCATCCAGCACACTTCTTGGCCACAAAGTTCTTGTAGCAATCCACGCAGTAATACTGGTCCTCCACAGCGGTGAAACGCTGCCCAGCCAGCTTCTTAGAGCAGGTAACACACACAAAGCACTCGGCATGCCAGGGCTGATCCTGGTAAGTGATTCCTCCAGATGTGATGGCCTAGACCAGGGAGTGTAGCACCGGATTCAGATTCAACAACCATTTTGTTGAATGCCTACCATGTGCCAGGCACTGTGCTGGGCGCTTCGGTATACAATATCTCATTTAATCGCCACAACAGCCATGGGAGGCAGGTGCCATTATTATCCCCGGGTTCCAGATGAAGACACCGAGGCTCAGAGAGGGCGAGCACCTGCGTGAAGTCACGCACAGCCAACCCGGTGGCAGAGGCAGGCCTCTAGAGCTGGGGCCGCCAGGGGCCTCCACAGTGAGTGTGTCCCCGGACAGCAGGCCAGGGCCCGGGCGCCACTTTCTCCTGCCACAGCCTCCTCATCTGCAAACCGACAATAATAATTCCCACGTCGCAGGGCCGTCGTGAGGATGGAATGGGATAGTGTGTGTGCAAGTGCTCTGCAAGCTGTCCAACGCTTCTAGAAACAACCGTCCCTTGACAACGTACCTTGTTGCACTTGACGCAATGCTTGGCAAATTTGGTCTCATGGCAAGTCACGCAGTAGAAGTCCTCCCCTTTGGGGAAGAAGCTTCCAGTCCCGATGACTTGTTTGCAGTTGCTGCAGGTGAAGCAGTCTTTGTGCCAGATGGTCTTCTTGTACTCCACGTTCTGATCTCCTGTGGTGGGAGGGAAGCCGGCGAGAGCCGCCCTGTCGGTGCCCTGCAAGGGGCTGTAATCCATGCCCCCCACCACCCTGGGCCCTCCAGAGGGGAGGGAATGTAGGCCCCGCAGGTCTCGGCCTCGTGCTTCCAAAGACCCTCCCCGTGGGGGCCTCTCTCTCCACCGGCCTACCTGCCGGGGTGGCGCGGACCCAGCTTCCATCAGGGGAGGAGTCGATGCCTGAAGCCCCGCCCCGCGCCCCGGCCTCGGTGGACCCGACCTGGCTCAGAATTCCACCCTGAGGAGGTCGCATGCTTTGCTCACTCACTCTACCCAAATGAGAAAGCGCTACATACTTTTCACTTCTTTCTCTTGCCACAGACCGCTCTCTCCAGTGTTCTTTAGCTGCCGAGTGTGTGCGTGTGTGCGAGCATATATGTGTACGCAGATATACGTGTACGTATATGCGTGCATATATACGCTAAGACCTAAGCGCGGCTCACAGCAGCATCACCCCACCACCACGAGCCCCGGCATCAGCTCGGCCCTGCGGGCCTGCTCCCTGGCTGCCCCGGTGGGGAGAGGGGACACTACCTGCCACGATCGGCTTGAAGCACCCCTTGCACTTGGGGGCATCCTCCCGCGTGGTGCACTTGTTGCAAAAGATCTTGTTGTCCTTGGCCACAAAGGTCTCATTGGCCAAGGGGTGCAGGCACTTGGCACAGCGGAAGCAGGTGTCATGCCAGTAGCGGTTCTTATAGTGAACCTCCTGGAAACCAAGCAGAAGGAGACGAGCTGCTGTGAGAGATGCTTGGGGGGCGGGGGCAGGGGCCCTCCCATCAAGCCCAACATCTGTGGGGCAGACTACTGTGCCGACACAGTCCCTTACACCTGGAGTCCCTGAGGTGTTCTTGTGAGTCACATGAGAACACCGAGGCGAGGAAGAGCTCCTGGGGACCCCCAGACCGGGGCCGGGGCGGTGGGGGGAGCTGAGGACTCGCGATGGAAGCCGGAGCCTCCACTCCCTCACCACCGCATCCCTGCCGGCCCTGCCCTGTACAGGAGTCCCCCGCCCCACACACCAGGCCAGCCCGGTCACCTTGGAGTCAGCGCCGATGGGCTTCCGGCACTCCACACAGGTGTTGGCGCAGAACTTGTCGAAGCACTTCAGGCAACAGTGGTGGCCATCCTTCTGCACGTATTTCTTGCCCTGCAGGTTGTCCCTGCAGTAGTGGCAGTCGAACTTCTCAGTCATGGTGCCCACCTTGTAGCTGGCTGGACCTGCGGGGGCAAGGAGGCAGAGCAAATGAGCCCACGGAGGAAGGGGACAGCGGTGCGGTGCCACCAGGGCCTGGAGGTCAGGTCCCTGCTGCCGCCGAGCCTGGCTGGGGATGGGCGCCAGGACCGGACGTCCTTCACGGGGACCCTGGGAAGAAACAGCCCCCCCACTGGCCGGGGATCAGAGTCCGTGGCCGGTGGGTCCCCGGGAACATGAGAGAAAGTCCTGCTGGAGGAGGAGACAAGGGGGTCAGGACTTGTGTTGGCCAGACAGGGCTTCTAGAAAGGTGTGGTGCCTTCGAGCCGTGGACACACAGCTTGGGACACGCGCCAGTGGCCGCTCCGGGAGGCAAGCTGCTCGGCAGCCCGAGGAGGAGGAGCCGCTGCTCTGCTCCCCACACCGCCAGCCTCGGGCTCTTTCTCCCAGACCACGCTCCCATCTGCAGGAGTCAGCACACCGGACAGACAGACTGGGGCTCACTGCCCAGAGAGGAGAGGACACTGGCCCCGTGAACAACCCTTATGGATCGGTTCAAAATGAACCATCTGATCCTTCAAATCCGGCAGAGCACTTTGAAATCCCAAACGGACCCTAAAGAGCTCCATCCAACAGAGTTCACGGACCCCCGAGGCCTGAGCCATGACCCCGGAGAGGACTTCTCACAACAGCATTCTCCATCTGTACTGGCAAGGTCCGCCACCGTGAGCACTTGTCACGGCGATGTGCCGTTCTATGACACGCCAAAATCCAGGCCCCCCCTTTGTTCGAGCAAGTGAGGCTCGAGAGTCAACGAAGCATTTGCGGTTTTAAAAATTGCGACGAGAAAGTATGATTGCGGGGGGGGGCAGGAGAGAAAGGCTTTTAAAACGTGTTAAGCTGATCATTCCAAGAACCCCTTCCACTGCCTTCATATAGAACAACTCCCCTTGTCCCCAAGCCCCCACCACCCCCTCCAGACCCCAGACTGCACGTCTGTAATCGCCGTGAGCTAAGGCACTCCGTTCCTCCGCCACCAGAAAGCTGCCAGATCTATGAGCTCCCAATTTCTTGAAACATATGCTAATTTTCCCTGCTCCTCCTGAAAAGAACCGTACGTGGGTAAGTAGATAGCAATTATTTAATTTGCGCAGGAAACATGAGAATGGAGAGAATTTTCTCCAATTACCCACCAACACGGTTCTCGCGCTAGCAAATACCCCCGCGGAATCTAGCGAGGGAACGAGGCGAGACGAACGAGCAGCTGCCCGGTACTCACCGTGGCTCTTCCACCAGCTGAATGGCCCCGGACTCCCACTCTGGGTCCCATTCCCAGTTTTTTTATACAAACACATGTCCAAGTTGTTTGGATCCCGTTGCCACAGGCAACCAAATAGCACAGAGTGAGCTAAGGAAACCACACCCTGCGTCTCGGAGCCCGCCTCGGCCAAGGCTGGTGAACTCTCCCTCGGAGCTGGGCGCATTTCAGAAGCTGGCCTCCAGACAAAGCACATCGCACCACGGATGGGTAGAATGTTCTGGGCCAGCTGCAGCCCCTGCTCAGGCTGGCCCTTGCACAGACCCCCTCATCTCCAGGGAGCGAACGACGGAAAGCGAGTGGGTGGCATTCTCGGGCAAAGACAGTTGCCTGAGACAGTTGTGCCAGAGCTCAGAGGTTCATCGAGACCAGAGAATGGTCCCTAGCGGCACTTTCTCCCCAAAAAGGCCAGAGGGATGTTCCCTTATGTAATTGGGTTAGAGAGGAAAAGCAGAGACGCAGGGGGACCGAGGCCTGGTCTCCTTGAGCAGCACGCTGTTTACCCAAGGCAGCTTCGAAAGGGCCATTAGCCCCTGTGCAGACAGAAAAAAGTGCCTGTCACCGTGAGAGCACGCGGACAATCACTCTCCTCCTCTCGGCCCTGCCGGTCTTTCACAGGCCACACGAAATCCTCGTCTCACTAGCTTTTCCATATTGAAATCGTGCTCTCAACCAAGATGGACTTTCTTGTTAAGAGCCGAGTAGAGAAACCAAGTAAATGCCAGGAAGTTCAATTATCAGCGGCTCCGAAATACCATTTGGCAGGAAATCAGAACTTTTAAGATTAGACGGCACCGGCTTCCTGCGTGGCGAGGAATCGTGGCTGCCTTAGCCCTTCGGAGACTATCTTCCTGGACCATATGGGGACATCCCTCCTCCTCCCTCACCCAAGTCCCTATTTAGCATAGAACTTGGAGTCACACTCCCTTTCCTATCATTCCTTTGACGTCTGCTGAAGAGGAAATGGCCTCCAAATATTTCTATATGTGACAGCACAGCGGCGAGTGCCACCTGACGGAGTCCCGTCTCGTGCTTTATGGCAGAAACTGGGGGTCAGTGTCCCACAGAAGAGCACCGCCAGGAAGCACAGGGAGGCCCCTTTAGGTATTTGGAGCTTGGGGGAGAAGAAGAACCACTACAGTAAGAGAGCTTACTGCCGAGCCTCTTTCACTTGAAAACTACCTACTTTCAAACAGTCACGGGGCGCCTGGGTGGCTCAGTGGGTTAAGCGTCTGCCTTCGGCTCGGGTCATGATCTCAGGGTCCTGGGATCGAGCCCCACATTGGGCTCATTGCTCAGCAGGGAGCCTTCTCCCCCCCCCCCCCCCCCCCGCCCCCCCTCCCTCCTTGGGCTCTCTGGCAAATAAATTAAAAAAAAAAAAAAAACAGTCACTTTGCCAATGCCAAGTTCTTCACTGGTTACTTTCATGGTTCTAGAACATGACTTGCTTGGAGTTTTTACATGTCCAGCTGGTGAAATAACCGCACGGCTCACCAGCTGAACACGCAAGCACCAGGACAGGGTCCCGAAGTGGGTGAAAGGGAAATTAAAGAAGTCACCTCGAGTTAAGGGTGCCGCTGTGGAGAGGTTTCGAGTCCCGGCTTTTGGGCATTATTAGTTTTTCTTTCTGCAGAATGAAAGCCCAGGGCCACCCTCTGTTCCCCGCACTGCACACTTGAACCCGAGCCTGCACCCAGAGGGACAGATTTCAAAGGGCATGTCCTCTTAGGGCTCATTTCCACAGTAGACTCAAGCCTTTTTTGTGTGTGTGTGGAAACACTTATTTGTCAAGATAAAATAGGCACTTCTAGGAACGTTAGCTTTTATTGCCTAATAAGTAAACAGGCTGGAAACACTTGAGGCATGTTAACAATGCTGATGTCAAATTCATGAACTTTAGTACTTTTTTTGCAATGATTCCAATGAAGTCGAACTCTGGGTAACCTGAATTAGTTTACCTCATGTTTTTCTTTCTTTTTTTTTTAAGATTTTATTTATTTATTTGACAGACAGAGATCACAAGCAGGCAGAGAGGCAGGCAGAGAGAGAGGGGGAAGCAGGCTCCCTGCTGAGCAGAGAGCCCGATGCGGGGCTCGATCCCAGGACCCTGAGACCATGACCTGAGCCGAAGGCAGAGGCTTTAACCCACTGAGCCACCCAGGCGCCCCTACCCCGTGTTTTTCTAAACCAGGATTATTGGGTCCCAAACTGTTTCAAGCCTTCACGGCAGCGTGCTTAGGAGGAAGCCGGAGGGGTACGTTCCTGCTGATGAGATAGTCCCCGTGTCAAAACTGTGCATGAAGCATGAACGGGTACGAGGGCAGAAGAGTCTGTTACTGCTTGTCTTTGGAGCCACTAATAGCTCGGGGAGAACAGAGCTGGGACACACAGAGGTTCCCAAAAGACAGCCAGCGCTCTGGTGTGTGGGCTCCCCGAAAATGAGCCACAGTGAAATTCTGACTTCACGAGGAGACAAACAGTTTGTGCCTCCCTCTGTTTCCCCTTTGTTAGAAATCAGAGAATGGACAAAAATGAAGATAGCATTTCACCTGTCTTGGAGGCTCCCTTTAATCTTACTAAATTAACATATACTTAAAGCGTTTATCTCTTGGGGGTACTTTTTTTTTTTTCTTATCTCCCTACCCGGGTCGCCTTCCAACCTTCCAAAACTTCCAGATCTGCTTCCCCTGACCTGCGGCTGTTACCTGGGAAAGGGCGCCTCATCAGTCATCATACAGTCATCACACAAGTCACTGGGTACAAAGTTACTTCCCTTCCTGCTGGTCCCCGCCAGCCCTGTGGCTGTGTCTGCCCTCCCGCAGCTCTTGCACTCATCTCAGGCGCCGATGTGTGCCCCACAGCCGTAGGCAGGAATGAGGGTTGTCTAGCACAGAAGAAGTTTGCAAATTCCCGGGGGCCCTGCCTCTTGTCCACTAAGTCACACGCTATGACCGTGGATGGATAGATTTGGGGGGTCGTTAGATCACTGCCACAAAGCTCCTAAAACCTCTTTCATTCAAAGCATTTTATAACAGATTTGTTTTTAAAAACCAGGGCACAGCTCCTGCCACCCTAAGGGGCTGACGTCTGACCCTCAGGCCTTCAGAGAGGTAGCAGGTTCAAATGCGGTTGGAAATGTGACCGGCTGATCGCATTTTAGAGACTGTTCCCAGGATGGCAGACTGACTTTCTTGCCGTGCCTGCTTCAAAGGACACATCATTCTTCACTTAATAAGTAAGCTTCCTCTTTCAGAAAATTCCTGAACGACAGCCAACATGCTAAGAGGTGCCTACATAAACCTCAGTATCTCAGTAAGAAGTTTTGGCTCTGATGCCATCACGTACACATCAGAGAAACGTCTCATTAGAGAAGACTCAATTTGTATTCAATAACCTCTCACTTGTGTTTTTATATGGATTTTCTCACGTATTTCTTGCTAATGTCCACTTTCCCCCTCATGCCTGAGTGGCTCAAAATTGGAAGGTTTAAGGAAACCGTGACCAGGAGGGCAAAGGAGCATTCTTTGACGTGCTCCCCCTAAGTGGCATAACGAACAGCGCAAACGATGAACTGCAAGCCAGAGGGGGGAAAAAATTCGGGTTATTTCTGGTCTGTTAATTGCTAAGTCCAACGTACCGGTCCGTTAGTCACCCCATGTATAAATACTGACTTGCAAAGAAAGGGTATATTGCTTTCCCGAGAGGTGTCGTCAGACATTTGGGAATAAATACCTAACTTGCTGCGATGAGACGGAGGTCATGAGTCATGGCTGAAAAGTGGTCTCTCACAAAATTTCATAGAAAATCAGAAAGTGGTTTTTTTCCCTTAAAAACAGAAATGACTCAATGCTATTTGCAAGTTCGCTTGTATGCTGCATTTAGAGAAAAACCCATAATCTCTATCCCAGTCCTACTTTGTCCAGATACGAAGCTTTTCTTAAGGTTGTGCACATTAGGCAAGCACCTTCCTTTGATTTTCCGCCCTGGCAGCAAGAGAACAGGGGTTCTTAGTTTTTCTTGTTGTGCTAAAGTCACTGGTGGCCGTTACGTGGTCATTAGAAGTACACATCACTCAGGTTTCACCCTTGACCAGCTCTTCTGACTACCATTTTTCAGTTATTTTAAGAACCCGACTCAGTGTGATTACTTGCTCACCCCACCATGTCATTTTCTATCCCTGCCCCCCAAAAAAGACTGCCGGGTGTGTGTGACCCACTGGGCAGTGGCTGGCAAAGGGAACGAATGGCGATGTAGTAGGGCAAATGGTCTTACTTCCCTCCCCATCACCCCCAGTCTGGCCCTCAACTTGCAAGGCCAAGGGTAAAGGAACTGAATCTACATAATCTTGCAGCCTGAAAGCGTTCAATACCAAAAGTATACATTCTTGCCCTTGAAATGTCCTTTCAGCATAGGGACAGCCACTAAAAACGGATCCCGAACCAATGATCTGAGCCTCTCCTTTGTCCATACAAAACCCACTTCAGGGCAACGAGCAATTTCTTCACGTGAGGACTTCTCTCTCGTCTGCTTCATGGACCTATAAACCTAATGCAATACAAAACGACAGCTCCTGGTTTTAAAAATCATCTAAAAGGTGTCAATAATCTAATTTAGTCATGTTTATCGTCTCCAGATTTATATAAAGCAAGATTCGTGTCTGGATTTGGTGCAAAGTAAAACCAGAGGTTGGTATGTTGTAAACAGGTCACCTTTTGAATGTATTTAAATGTATTTTCAAATGTATCTCCTAATCCGTCCCTGAATTAGTAAACAAACGGGGAGTTAGTTACCACGTGTTCAAAGTGCACTGGAACAAGTGGTACAGTATCTGCCTTGGGCTCAGGTTGGGATCCTGGGGTCCTGGGATCAAGTCCCCACATCAGGTTCTCTGCTCAGCGGACAGCCTCCTTCTCCCTCTTCCCTCTGTGCTCGCTCTCTCGTGTAAATAAATGAAATGTTTAAAAAAACAAAATAATAAAAAATAATAAAATAATAAAATAAATAAATAAATAATAAAAAAATAAAATACATTTTGGTGGGCAATTACAAGTTTTCAAAAATCACTTTTCCAAAAGACTGCCACCAAAAATTACTTTGTCCCGTAATCTGAAAGCCAGGAGAGAGGACAAAGTGCCTGTTTGTAAGAGAGGGGACCGTTCCTTAGGCAGGGAGGGCAAAAGAGCCACAGCGACATGCCTGGCTTTGGAGGAAAGACGGGCAAG